ATTACGTAATTGTTTTTCTCCTAGAGGGGGAGATGTAAAGAAAATCACGACTCAATTAGATGGGAGTCGAGACTTTTTCTCAAGGATTCGAACTTACCGATAGCGCTATCGGTAAGTTCGTATAAATCGTACCGTTCGGAAAATCGTATAAATAATAGGTTATAGAGAACAGACCGAAAGTAAAAGCTTTGAATGTTGTTTCTTTTGTTTTCACAGGTACGATTTTGTGAGATTTATGAAATTGGTGTAAGTAAAAGCTCGTATGTACATAGTGTAAAATAGAATCTTTTGTTTCACAGAGAAACGCAGCTCAGTTTTTATTTTCAATCCTCTCCTTCGCGTCTAAACTGGTGCACTTAAAAACACATTACATCTATACAAATATTTTTTTCTCTTGCAGAGAAATAAATAGAAAAAATTTCAAGATTATTTTATCATTGTACAAAGAAGACCTTTTGTGACCTATTTGATTTGTTTCCTTTATCATACATATACAGGGTCCGCCACCAAAATCCGGACAAATTTAAATTTGAATTTCCTGCCTCATTTGACTTCATTGGACTTTTAAATTCCGAGTAATTAACTATCGCGAAGTGCGATAGTAATTCGTACGACAATATAATGCGTTCACATTTCACACACTCGCGGTGCGTATTACAAGTTAAGATGTCACTTGACGGTAACTTAAAAAATATACGGAAAATCCGATAGCTGCTCAATTCGGATTACACTTGCACGAGACATCAAGAATAATAATCGATCCGGTAACGATCGAGATCAGATAGCTAATGAGGCGTCTCTAGCGATCCGGGAAGCTCTAGCGATCCGAGAAGCCTTGTCATGGCGCTGGGGCTCACCCGGGCCCCTCTTCGGAGGGAACCGGGTGCCAATATCCCAGAGTACGGAGTCCCCCGTTAAATAGGGGGACCCTGTACATCTGGGGTCCGGTACCCCAAGGGCAATTTGTGCCTTCGGTGCAGTTTTCGGTGCCTTTTTAGGGCCCGGCCGAAGGAGGGAGTGCCTGGGCAGCCCGTCATCGTACAGCGGGTTTAGCCAATGTGCCGGTAGGAGATGACGACTCCGACTTCAAACGCCCGGTGACCAGGCGCCGATAGGAGGATAGTGATTCCCTACCCTGGGAGGGCGGCGGTTCGCAGGCCGACCGTCCCCCATTCCCTGGAGCCCGCGCCCGTCCCGTCGGGGTCGGGGTGGTCTCTGGGAAATGGAGGATGGGAAACTGGCGACGGGGGTGCTTCCCCCAGGCGGGGGCGCCCGCGGCTGGGATTTCCTGGCTGCGGGATGGGACGGGGTTTGCTGGTGAACCTCCTATTTGCACGACGGCCGGGGGGTGACCTCGGTCATCTCACCGGCGCCTGAGGCGCGGGGGGTCGTTGGCTGCGGCTGACGGCTCATCCGCGCCTCAGGCCAGACAGGCTTCATGCCTGGGCATCGCGTGCGTCGGCTGCCGGCTTGGTCGGAGCCGGAATCGCGGGGCGGAGGACCGACGGACTTATGGGACGGATACAGGACAGAGGATAGGCGAACGGACGTAAGGACGGAGCTGGGTGCAATGGAGCAGGGTCACCCCCGAATATTCGGGTCCATCATTCCCTGCGCTGCCCTCCATGAGAATAAGGAGGAGGATAAGAATAAGAGCGAGGTTGAGGAATAATTCTGGAGAGTCCCCGCTGAGGCGGAGATTAAGGACTGGACGAGAATGTTTGAAGAAGAATAGGACAATGGGGATCACCCCCGTGTTTCCGGGTCCATCGTTGCTACCTGTATGGCAGGCTGGCTGTACATCGGATGACTACCGGTCCTGGATGGATTCACGAAGGAGAACGTAACCCGGCGTTAGTGGACCGCTTGTAAAATAGTCCACTACTTGTGATAATGAATAATGGAGTGTAACAGAGATCTTTGCGTCCCAGATTGGATATGGGACAACGGCGTGTGGGAGGATATTGTCCCAGTTCCCCCCTGTCGACATCGGGTTATGGGCTGACCGCTGCCTACACCGCAGGGGCAGCGGTGGAAATGGTGCCTGCGAAGCCCCAGGATCCGGGGAATGGATCTAGGAAGACCAGTATACCGGTTCTTCGGTTAAGAGGAGGAGGAGATCCAGCTGAGGACAAGGCGCAGAAGATGGATGAGGGATGAGCAAACCAAGGAACCGGATATCTCCGTCTCGCTTATAGAAGAGGATCTCGAGAGCCTTACTGATTACAGCGAAAGTGAGGACAACGAAGAAGGCTTCTTCAGGAAGCCTGGACCACGGCCTAAGACAAAGGCCACTAGGAAGACCAGAAGCTCGCAAAAGAGAATAATTATCTCATCTGATTATGGTGATGAAGAGCTCAGCGAACCCCCGGGCAAGTTTGCCCTGGTTCAGCAATCTGGGGAGACCAGAAAAAGAGGTCGGCCACCTAGCTTCCCAGACGTTTCAAAGGATGGAGACAAACTTGCACAAATACATCTCTAAGAGAGGGACGCTGAAGAAAGTAAATGAGGAACAAGATAAGCGCTTACAGCTTAAAAGAGAGGAAATCATTAGGCAGCTCTCAAATAAGGATCTACTCAAGGGAAAGAGGAAAAAGAAGTTAGATTCTGATAAATATCAAGATGAAGTAAAGTACCAGCCTAATTATGAGATAAAGGACAAGGCAACAGAAGGCTAATGGAGGTGATCCGCATCGCCAAGACGTCCGATAACCTCAAGGGTACTTACGTTGGAACTTTACAACTAATTGTTCAGACGATGATGATCGACTTCCAAGTTCTTCTTGAGAGATTGGAAAGATCAAACGACAATGCTGAGTCAGGTGAGGTAGCTCTACTGCGGAAGGAGATAACGAGTATCAAAAGCAAAATGAACTGTGAGCTTGAGCTGGAAAGGGCAAGAACCAAAACGACAGAAGATAGAGTCAGCATATTAGAAAAGGATCTCTATCAAATGAAGAGAAATCTCGAGAGGGGAAAAGTCTGAATATAAAGGATGAAGGCGAGATAAAGACATTCACTGCAGATGAGGTAGAAGAAATAATAAGAAGGAAAGGAACACTAAGATCTAGTAAACTATCAGAAAAAGAAAAGTACTACAAAGAAACAGACCCAACAGAAGATGACAGGATGGACATAGATGGGTAGGTACCCGAATCGACTGAAAATGTAGCCCTATCCCCGAAAGAGAAGTGGCCGCCAATAGTTTTATCGGAACGTGACGGACAAGTTAGAATAGTGGACGACAGAATTCTCTCTTCTAGTCAAAAAATCATTATAGATAAAGGCAACATGAAACGTAAGGATAGACAGCAGATGGATACACGCCGAGATGCTGTTGGCAATCGACCTTCCAACTCCAAGGAAATATAGGGGTCTAACAAAGAAGAGTCACAGAACTTAAAAGACCTTATCACTCAGATTATTAGGGAGGCATTCGGCCTTGAACGGCAACCTCGTGGACGAAAACCTGAGTTCCTCACCAGAAAGGAACCAAGTGCAGCTAGTCAGAGCTACCAAGAGAGGCCACGTTTTAAATCTAGAAGTCGTTCTCAACAGGACATGACACCTAAAGCTAGCCAATTGCCGTAATCCCAGCAAGAGCCCACTTGGGTGACGGTTGTTGGCCGTAAGGCCAAAAGATCGGAAAAGTTTGCCAATAATAGCAACTGTTGTTGCTATTATTGGCAAACTTTTCCGATCTTTCCTGTTGTTACAAGAGACAACAAAATGGATCTTCCCAACAATCAAACCTGGGAACCATGAAAAGGAAGCCCCTCCGCACAGCGGCAGTTCAGATAACTGCCAAAGGCAAGGCCTCATACGCAGACACTTTGCGTCTCGCGAAGTCAAAAATTAACATTGGCCAATTAGGAATAACCGAAATGCGGCCGAGGCGAGCCAAAACGGGGGCTCTTCTGTTAGAAATCCCAGAGCCAGAGAATAGTGTCAAGGCGGATGAATTAGTAAGCTCCAGGAGGTATTTCAAGACAACGAAGAAATCAAGATCTCTAGACCTGTGAAGACTACAGAGCTGAGAATAGTTGGCTTAGATGACTCGGTATCTTCATTTGATATTGTGTTGGCAATTGCGACTCTGACGAATTGTAATCATGCGGATATCACATTTGGATTGGGTGGGCCCAATCAGGCAAGTTAGAAATAGAATAGGATCGACACTCGTTAAGTGCCCAATCGCTACAGCGAACACATTAATCGATGGAAGAAAGATTCAAATTGGTTGGACTACAGCACGCATTGTCCCACTCCCCACTAGAAGGTTACAGTGCCACAAATATTGGGAGTTTGGCCATGTAAGAGCGGAGTGTAAAAGCTCGCTGGATAGAAGTTCGGCCTGCTATAGGTGTGGGGAAAAGGATCACCTGGCCCTGTTGTGTCCTAACGCGGTTAAGTGTATACTATGTGAAGAGACTGGCGCTCCATCTAATCATCGCATGGATGGTCAAGCGTGCGACCCCAAGAGAAGGAAACTAGGGCCTACCCGTGGTCCAAAGACTTGTCCTAATATAATCACACTAGGAACCTTATCGACGATATAATAATATATCGTCGATAAAATTCCTAGTGTGGAAAACAATAATACTATAAGGTCAGAAATCCGGCCTTCCGGGACTACCGACAAGGCTAAGACTCTGAAGGACGGACCTGGAGCAAGTTAACAAGGATGAGGCCGCTCAGACTCAAATCCAAGTGACAGCACGAGAGACAGTATCTCAAGAAGCAGGATCATCAATAATGATGGACTCGCAAGTCCTGACCCCTATGGAGGTCGAAATGATTGTGCATCAGGCCGAGGTTCACAGGCCTATGAGTCCTAAGACTCTAAATTGACCGTCACCCGAGGATGCAGCAGTTAGCACATGGACAGATAAATCATCGCAGGAAGGAAAGAAAAATCCTAGCAACTAGAAATGGCCAATACGATCTTACAAATCAATCTCAATCGAGCGAAGATGGCCCATGATCTCCTATAGCAAGCCATGATTGAAAACAATGCAGGTCTCGCGATTATTTCAGAGCCTCATAGGGTGCTGGATCACCCCTACTGGTTGTCGGACAAAAGAGAAGATGTCGCGATTTGCTGGAGGAAGGACAGTCACCCTATGGCCTTCTCTCTGATATGCGCTGGTGAGGGCTATCTTACAATAAAGTGGGGCGAGATCTTCGTTACGGGAGTATACTGTTCCCCTAACGTAAGCAAGGCCACCTTTAAGGAATGGCTCGACGATTTAGGCCAACATATACAGGGCCATCTAGATAAACATATTTTACTATGTGGGGATTTCAACGCGAGATCTTCGTTATGGGGCGATAGAATCACCAACGCTAGAGGCAGAATCCTGGAGGAGTGGTCTGCATCGTTCGGTTTGGTCTGTGCAAATAGAGGCTCTAGAGGCACATGTGTAAGAAGTAGAGGTGAATCTATCGTAGACACCTCATGGATTTCTTTCAATATGAATAACAGAGTAGCGGATTGCAGAGTGTTATCTGATGAAACGATGTCAGACCACCGGTACATTAGTATCAAGATAGGCCTGTCGGCAGCCCATAGATCGAAAAGTCAGGTCAATGAGAGAAGATGGGCGGTACGCAAATTGAATAAGGACCTTCTCACTGCGGTCTTTGAAGTGCTCACGTGGAAACCGGCTCAAGAAGCTCAGGAGACAGATAACGTAATCAAAGATCTGGATGCGGAAACTATTCGACTACAGGACATAGTTGCCACCGCATGCGATGTAGCTATACCCAGGACGAAATCTCGTTCTAAGAAACAGGTTCACTGGTGATCTGAAGAAATAGACACCCTTAGACGACAAGCACTCAAGGCCCGCAGAGGAGTGAAAAGAGCCAAAATCAGGAAAGCTTCTGGAGACGAATTCTCGCGAAAAATCGGAGTATATAGAGCCGCGAAGAGAGAGGCGCGCGATCTATCGGACTAAAGAAAGATCATGGAAGGATTTGCTAGGCTCCCTTAACGAGGACCCATAGGGGACAGTGTATAGAATGGTTCTGGGCAAATTGCGTTACTGGTCCGTGCCATACACGGAGTCTCTAAAGCCTAACTTCCTCAATGAGACACTGGGTACTCTTTTTCCTGATCGACCGAAAAAAGCCCAGAGTTGGACTGAAGCGGAAGCGCTTCCCGATAGAGGCAGAGGACAATGGAAGCCTGAATACGAGGTTAAACTGGGCGAAATACGTCGCGCCATGCTCAGGATGAGGCAAAGAAAGGCTGCTCCTGGTCCTAGTGGCATTCCTAGCCAAGTTTGGGTCCCTGCCCCAGATTATGTTCATAATCAAATGAAAGATCTGTTTTCCCAGTACCTCAAGAAAGGAGTCTTTCCGAGGATATGGAAGAGAGCGATGCTGATTCTCCTCCGAAAGGAGAACAAGCCGGCGAACACCCCTTCCGGAAATAGGCCAATTTGCTTGATCGACGAGGATGCCAAGTTATTTGAGCGAGTAATTGTGGCAAGGATCAACGATCACCTGGACATACCATGCGGGGGCTCAAGGCTCAATACAGCTCAGTACGGCTTCCGTAAAGGTTGTAGTACAACTGATGCGATCCTGCGTGCTAGAGAGTTCGTAGAGGAGTACGTTAGTTCCACGGGGGAGTTGTAATCGGCGTGGCGATCGACATAAGTAACGCGTTCAACTCCCTCCCCTGGGACAGTATAGGCATGGCGGTTAAGAATCTAAAACTCCCCTTATATCTCAGGAGAATTCTGAGAGCGTATCTTTCCGAACGGTTCCTTACGTACTACGACGGACAAGGGAAGAAGTGTACGAGAAAAATAGAACGAGGGGTACCCCAGGGATCCGTCCTGGGTCCATACTTGTGGACACTGGGGTATAACGAGGTCCTTAAGAACTCTGATCTTCCTGAAGACTGCTCCATCATTGCGTACGCTGATGACACTGTGATCCTAGCGGGTGGTCGAGACTGGAAGAAAGTCATTCTGAGAGTCAACGAGGCTACACATACGGTCATACTGAGAATCGAGGAGCTAGGGCTATCCATATCAGCCCAGAAATCAGAAGCTGTGTACTTTCAAGGTGGTGGACGCAGACCACCAGCTAACACCTGCATTAGACCACCAGCTAACACCTGCGTTAGGGTGGCAGAAACGGACATAGTCGTAAAGGAGTATATTAAATATCTCGGGGTCATGGTCGACAGTCGATGGGGTTTCAAGAAGCATTTCTCAATGATCGGTGAAAAGTTGGTACGCATAGTCAACAAGCTGTCAAGAATTTTCCCCAATGTGGGCGGTCCTCGGTTTCATGTTAGACGTCTTCACGTGTCTGTGATTGACTCGGTGGCATTGTATGCCTCACCTGTTTGGACGGATAAGATTCAAAATAATCGTAAGATTCTGAGAACTCTTCAACAATCGCAACGAAGAATAGCGAGCAGAGTCATTAAAGGCTATAGGACGATTAGCTTTGCGATGTCCTCTATACTGGTAGGATTCCCTCCGCTTGCGTTAAAGGCGGATATGTACGCCGAAATTTACGAGGAGACGAAGAAGTGTAGAGCGGGTGGAGGGGTTATTCTTCCGACGGCTATGAACAGAATAAGACAACGAGCCAGGGACAGGTTGTACAAGAGATGGGAGGCCTTCATACGGCTCCCCGGTCAACAAGGAGGTGAAGTCGGAATGGCGATTAGACCGATGCTCAAGGAATGGAGTACAGACAAGGTTGGGCTCTCCTATCACTGCACGCAGATGCTGTCTGGCCACGGTTGCTTCGGGCAACAGATTGGACAGTGCTTCGCACACGATTGTGAATTGCCCTGCGTGGGTAGAGGAGCTGTATAATAATTAGTCAAACTTTCATTGTTTCATTTACGTTTTTATAGTTTAAGACATAAGCTATGTATTATTCACCGTCCGCAAAGGATTGTATTCGCGGCATGCACGGTCTCGCGTCATGATCGCATGTCTAGTTGCTTTCGGCGCGACACGCATTATTAAAGAGGGCGTACAGAGCTCTCGTGTACGTACAGAGGGAGTACAAGTCCGTTTTCCGTTACGACAACAACGAAAATCTTTCGAGAGCATTAGACGTGTGATTTCCTTCGCTCCAACACAATTTTGTATCCCAGTGAACGGCAATAAATTTAATGTGAAATAAGAGGAAGTCAATTACTTTCCTCGACCACATCGCTACTGACGGATTATCCGGTGGCACGTGTGACGGGCACATGCTCGTGGCGTATCATTCGCCGTTTTTTCAACAGGAGCGGAACGCTTTGACTGCGGACATCGGTCAGGACTTGACATATCCGGCAATAATCAAAGCCCTAATGGACAAAAAGAAGAGAGTAACAATCATTCCTCAAGTTTGTGAACGCAGTGATGGGTGCCAAGGAGCAGGCGGAAAGAGAGAGAGAGAAAAACCCGGGCTCTAATGCACGAGACGGGACGGCTACAGACAGACGAGGAGGACGAAAGAGACGACAATCTCAAACTCGGATGATGTCGATGACGAGACGCACAAAATGTGCAAGAAGAATAGAGACGACAGATGACGACGACGACTAGATCATCAGCCGAACAGATGGATGGAAGAAGAGCGGAGGGGGGGACGGCATGGGTGTCCGGCTTAGGCCGGTCCCCCTGTCGCCCCCCCCCCCTCTGCCCAGACCCCCGTGGGGAGGCGAGAGGCGGGAGACCTCTCGTCCCTACATAGAACAGGGCGAGGGCGGGTGCCGACGGAGGACAGTGTCCCCTCCGCCGGCACAAAGTTAGGATGGTGGCCTTCAGGCCATGGGCGGGGCCAGGGAGGTGATGTACCGATGGTACCGGAGGTACCGATGTACAGAACCCTCCCTGGCCCACTAACGCCAAGGTAGGGCACTCGTGAGGTTTTAGCGGGTAGGCCTCGGCCGGTTAGGCCGGGGAGAGTCCCGCATAACCCCGCTCCTCTCACCGGAGGGTGGGATTTGCGTAATGCATTTCCTCACGTAAAAAAAAAGGTAGCTAATAAGGAATGGAGCGCAGAACGAGTACGCGGAACTCGCAATTTCGGGTGCTGCGCAGAGGGGCGAGCATTCCATTTGAGACAGATAGATTAAAGAAAGTGAAAGCGAGATTTACGTGAGCAAGGATACGTGGTTACGTGGAATTGTCGAGAATATAATTTGAAATAACGATGATTCCGTAACAATTTTAATTTTCCAGTTTTAATAATGTTATATGTACAAATGTAGTTGCTAAAAGGCAAATAAATATTACTTTTATTATATTAACATATATTTGGAAGTTATACATTGCACACATGTCATTTTATTGAATATTTACCGGCAATCAAAAGAGAAAATCTTTTTCTCCATTTCCTTTTTTTTTTGAAAATGTACCCTCTTTGGCAACCAATGTACTCTTTTTCTACGGCCTTGAGTTGGTAACCCTAGGCAAGTCAGATGTTTGTAGTAAGCGTGCATAACCTCAAAATGTCCAAACAGATAAGATCGATTACGGAGTGTAACTAAAGAGCGGCGATAATCGAAGGCCTTTGCGTTGGGCGTTCGCAGACCGAAATTATTCTATTCTTCAGATACCCGAGATCGACTATTTATGATGTTGCGGCTAAATATTTGGCTTCAGAGACGTCCGAAAAAGGTTCTGCCAACCCGACGAGAAAGAAGCATTCAAAAGAAAAGTCGGTAAGGACTCCAGCAATTATCAAAAGGGCTCAAGAGCTCATCTCAAAGGATCCAGGGCTGTCTCTGACAACGTTGGCAAAAACATTGCGTGTGAGTGACAATGCGTCGAATTGCTGAAGAGAATCTACGCTGTGTGATTAAAATTCGACAAATACTCTCCGAGTCTGCCAAGCTGAACTGAGTGGCTCGCTGTAACTTGCTTCTGTGTTTGTTGAAAGACGAAAGTGCTGGACGCATCAAGTTTTTTTCGGACGAGAAAATTTTTTTTGTCGATGCCAAGGCGAATCGGAGGAATGACCGTTGGCTCGCCCACGACCCCGAAGATGTCCCTATAATAGCTAGGACAGTTTCCGGCCTCTGTTCACATCCTAGGTGTCGTCTCCAATGAGGGTCACGTCATGCCACCACATTTTTTTCAAAAGAAAGAAACCATCAATAAAGAAGTTTATTTACGCATTTTGACGACCGTAGTGAAGCCGTAGATAGATACCGTGGCCGCCAGGAGGTCGTACATCTTCCAGCAGGACGGTGCGCCGGCGCACACGAGTCACTTGGTTCAAAACTGGCTATCGGATAACATGGACATGTTTTGGTCCAAGGAATTCTGGCCGCCGAACAGTCCAGATTTGAATCTGTTGGATTACTACGTGTGGAGCGTCATTGAACGAGTGACCAACAAGTCGAGACATCCCAACGTAACATCTCTCCAGACCGCTCGAAGCGGCATTCGTTAATATGGACAAGGACGCGTTGCAAAGAGCGTGCCGGCGCTTCAGGCCGAAGATTGAAGCAAAAGGGAGTTATATAGAGTATAATCATGCAGTTTGGATGAAGATTGTTTATAATTTTTGTATTATTTAATTGATGAATGTTTATATTTATTGTACTTTTTTATTTATATTTAAATTATAATTTTATACATTGAAAATGACCCGATCGGAGTCGAAACGTCTGGAAATTTTATATGTATATATTTTGTTTTTTTAAATTATACGTACGTTAAACATATTTGGGTCTGTGCCCTTTTTCTTATTTGTATTGTTTTATACATGTTGAGCCTTTTCATTACTTATTTTTATATAGAGTAATTTTACTTGAAAAAGATACCAGGAT